CCTAGGACTGAGTCCTTGAGTCCTTCAGCATTTCAAATCAGAGAGACCAGCAAGGGTGATAATCTAACGGGGTTACATTTTCTGTTTGTCAATGGTTACACAGTTTAGGTGGCTTCACTGTCTAAATCAGGGGTCTCCTACCTCTGGGATCTGTCTAATGCCTGATGATCTGGGAGCTGATGTAATAATCACAGAAATAAAGTGCCCAATAAATGTAATGCGCTTTTTATTTTTTTAGTTCTACCAGTTTATTGCTACCAACCCATCTCCCTCCACCCTCGTGCACACATGCTCAGTCATGTACCCCCATGGACTGCAGCCCGCCAGGCTCCTCTGTCCATGGACTTTTCCAGGCAAGAATACTGGAGTGGGTTGCCATTCCTTCTCCATGTAATGCGCTTGAATCATTCTGAAACCACCCCCCTCACCCCCATCCATGGAAAAAAATTGTCTTCCATGAAACCCGTCCCTGGTGCCAAAAAGGTTGGGGACCGCTGCTCTAAACAGTGTGGGTGAATCCCACTATTTCTAAGGGAACGACAGTGTTCATAGAGTAGTAGTGGTTCATCGCTGTTCATATAGGTGATGGGCGGGTGATGATTATGATTTTTACCATCCACACGGTTTCCTTTCTAGGCATGACTCTGTGAAGAGTTGTGACTTCTATAGGGGTAGGTTCTGTCCATGCCTTTGCCTGACAACAACAGGATAATTGTTTTATCTGTGTCAGGACAGTAAACTGGAACAAGAACAACTAAGTCCATGGCAATGAGGGGGGGCTCTCCTCACTGTCCAGACAGAGGTGTTTTCTCCACGGAGTGTTACACTGTTCATCCCAGGCACCTCTGAGGTCTGGGAGAGGCTGTGCTTTTTACCAGCCTCAGGAGCATTTGTGAAGGCTTTCTGGGGAGAGTGGGGGCGGGTTGGATTCTTGCCCACTGGAGTTCACATGGTCTTGGTTGCATAGTATGTCTTCAAGGATTGACCAGTGGTGAGAGTTCTCATCACAAGTTCACAACCTCTGGGTGTTTTACACAGTCATTTTGGGGTTCACCATTCCTGGGGGTGGTTTCCAGTGTTCACAAGGCAACTGAACTATCCAACACGGTCCACACTTCCATGGCGCAGTCATGTTATAATATCTGTGGACACATCATTTTCACCAGCGGTTCCCATTCTCTGTGGATGGTTGAAAGTCTCCCCTGAGGCACGCCCACCATCCATGACTGTGTTTCACAGAAACTGTGGGATTGAATTATCCAGCTGAGTCAGGGTAGAATTCTGCCATTAACAGGCAATTTTTCACTGTCCATGCTTGCATGTTTGCTGCCTACAGTTGGAATCTCTAGGCTTACATTGTCCACAGGTTATGCTGATCACTTCTGCTAATGATCACCAGTATTTATTGCCTACTTATCTCAAATCTCTGATTTCTCATAACAACCTAATCATTAATATCCCCATTTTACAGATGATGAAGCTGAGGCTTAAAAAGATCAATTCACTTGCTCTATACAATCTCACTCACATACAGAAAATTGCAGTTTGGGTTGCCACCCTGGTCTCTGTCTTCTGGTGGCAGTATAGAGGTCACTGAGGTTGTAGTATGGATCTATTTTAAACTTGGCATCATCTTTTTCTGAGGGGTGGGGCAGTAAAAGACATAATAAACTATACTGGTTAAGGGTGGTGATTTTGAATTGGATAGACTGGATTTGAACCCTGTTTCTGACAGTTATTGAGCCTTGCTTTATTAATCTGTAAATGGGGATAACAATAGGAATTCCCTTCTTTGGGGTTTTGTGAGGCTTCAATGAGAAGATGTCCTGACAATGCTTGGCCCAGCGCCTGGCACATCATGAGCACTAGCAATTCGGGAGCTGTTATGATAACAATGATGATGGTTATTATTGCTGGACCACACTGCTCCCAGAGGGTTACAATATCCGTGGGGGAGCTGCACTGTCCGTAGGCAAGGTTACATAATTCCCCAAGGGGGTGATGCTTCCTGGGAGGCCTTGGTCTCCCCAAGGAAGAGGCCTGAGACCTCTGAGGCACTGCTTAGGGACTGCCCTAAGGCCTCTAGGAACCCACCAACAGAGGGTGGGCTTGAAGCCCTAAGCACCCAGAGCCTAACCCTTCAGGACTTCCCTCTCTGTAGCCTGTTCACTGCTCCCTATCTTTTTGGTTTCACTCTCTCTGAGCATCTCCTCCCCACCCCCCTTCCTCTCCTTTGGTACCTCAGAGTCTTCTCTGAGATTGTTTCCAGGATCAGCCTGTGAATGTAACTGCTATTTGCCCTCTGCTGTTGGCCATCTGATCATTGCTGATTTCCTGTTTCCCGAAGCCTCAGGCTCCATCCATTCCTCCCAGCTGCAGAGAACAGACTTAACACATCCCTACGCACTGGCCTTCATCCTTAAGCCCTGCCTTCCTCTCTCCTGGCGACCCCCTAGTGTCCCGTGGGAACACATTTGTTCAGACTTTGGTCACCCCCTCGCATCCTGGCTCCACCCCCGGAACCCCCCTGCCCTGGAGGTGGAAGTGGGGGTACCTCCGGCGCCAGCCGTGTTCCCAAGACAGCTGCAGTCTGGGGATGGGGGGGCGGCTCTTGCGTGCTTTCTCTCTGGTCACTTCCTCCCCAGATGGGACTGGGGCTATCTGGAAGGCCAAGACCCTATCCCTGGAGGAGCGGAGGAGGCATCCGCCTCCCCATTTCCGACGCTGGGAAATGCTTCCCACCCATTCCACCCCGCCCCTGGACAGCTGCCCCCAGTCAGGCTCAGGACTGGGGGGGGGCACATGGTAAGGTCAGCCTGGGAAATGTTGTGGTCTGGATCATCCTCTCAGGTCTTGACCCGACCCCCCCTCACCCCCCGCAGAGAAAGTTCTGCCTCTTCCGAAAAGGTCCATAGTCCTCACAAAAGTTTCTGACACTTAGCATAAGGTACCCCCAAACCCCTCTTACAGGTTTCCAAAGAAAATGTGGACCCCGCAGTGGGCAGGAGAGGAGGAGGAGGGGCGGCAGGTCGCGGATCCTGAGGACTTAAAGTTATCTTCAGACTTGGCGCCTCAGAGAAAGGTCATGACCCCCAGGACCCCATCCTATCCCAGCCCCTCCTTCTCTCCTCCCCCGTCGCGCGGCCCCTTTAAGCCTAGAGCCGGCCGGTCCTCAGTGGCTGCGCGCCGGCGTGTGTGTGTGTGTGTGTGTGTGTGTGTGTGTGTGTGCGCGCGCGCGTGTGTATGTATGTGTGCCTGTGTGTGTCTGTGTGAGTGCGCGGGGAGGGGGCGGGCACAGTGTCTCCATGGCGACGCGGCGGTGACGTCGCCGGCCGGGGGGCGTGGGCGTCCCGGCCCCGGAGTGCGATATTAACCCGGGAGGCGGCGGCGGGGAGGGGAGAGGCTCTGAGAGGCGAGGCCGGGTGAATCGGCGAGGGCGGCCCGACGTGCTCGGGACGGGACGGGGCAGCGCGGGCGCCGGGAGCTGCGGCCCGGAGTCGGGGCGCCTCGCCCCGGGCCCCCCAGCATGAAGACCCCGGCGGACACAGGTGGGGGCGGGGGCAGCACGTGTGGGGGAGACTTGTTGCCCCGGGAAACCAGGCGGAGAAACTTTGGGGGGCTGAAGGGTTCTGGGGGAGCCCGAGTGATCCCCAGTTGCGGGGGACCCCCAAGCACTCGAGACCTGTTGCTTCTTGCGGTGCGAGCGGGGGTGTGCACCGGGCCCCCAATTCCTGGTTCTGGACGCAGTGGTTGGGTGCTGCGAATCCTGGTTCTTTCCTTGCCTGGACCTCAAAACCTGGGCTCTCCCTGACACCCGGGATCACGGGGGTGGCTGGGTTCCTCCCAGCCGCTCTGTCACGTTGCACTCTGGGGGCCGGGACGTGTGCGGGGTGTGTGTGGGGGGGGCGCTGTCCACAGGGCCCGCTATTCCCGGTTCGGCGCTGCACGGTCCGGCCCGTGACCTTCACCGCGATGCGTGCCCCGCACCGGCTTAGAGGGGGATACGGGATGGCCTCGAGGAGGAGGGCGTGAGTGGGGAGCCCGGGACTCGGGGTCCAGGCTGCACCGCCCCTCCCCCGCCCGTCTCCGCCGGCTCCTCGCTCCCCCGCCCGCGCCGAGTCGCAAAGTTCCAAAGCGCAGCCCGAACGTTCGAAAAAGGAACTTTTTGTTTCCGACCTTAGAACGCGCGGCTTTAAGGTCGCTCCGGAGAGACCTGGGAACCCTCCTCCCTCGCCGCCGGGGACCTGGGGTTGAGGAGGGTGGGGAAGGTGGGGGGGACGCGGAGGCTCCCCCCCTCGCCCCCCCTCCCTCATCCAGCCCTTCTCTTTCAACCGGCCGTCTCTTCCCTCCGCCCCCCTCTTCCCCGCCAACTTGCTCCTCCTTAAGGGACCAAGGTTCCCCTCCCCCTCCCTCGGTCGGCGGGCGGGGGGCAGCAGGATTAACCCCCCCCCACACTCGGACTTTCCCCCTTCCCCTCCCCCGCCGCCCCCGGGCTCTCGCAGGCTGGACTTTGCGCCCGGGCGCGCTGGGGGAGGGGTCCCAGCCGCCCCCTGCCCGTCTACCCCGTCGGAATCCGGCCCGGGGCGGGGACGGGGGAGGGGGAAGGGGGCCGGGCGCCGCTGTTCAAACTTGTTTCCTTCCCCCGGCGGCGGCCGCGGCTAGGGCTCCTGTGTGCGGGTGTGTGCCCCGACCGGCCCACCCACCCCGCCCCCCCTCGCTGGGCGGGTGGGGGCGGCTCTTAAAGGGCTCCGAGCCGGGCTCCGGCGCCTGGGGATTGGGGGCCGAGGAGGGGGCTGGGTGTAGGCAGGGGCTCGGAGTGCAGTAGGGTCAGTCACGTGCGTCCCACATACTCTCTGGCTCCCAAAGGCTCCAGGGCCGCTGGGCCTCGGGGGCAGCCGGAGCCTCCCCTCGCCGGAGGAGGGGGCCGAGGGACCCAGACAACCCCGCCTCATCTTCGCTCCCTGCTACGGGCCTTCGCCTGGTGGGACCGGCTGGGCCGCTCCCCTATCCCAGTCTTGGGGCCGCGCCGTGTGTGGGTTCTCTGGCTGGGGGAAGGGGCGGGAGCCTTTTCTGGCCTCCCGATGGGTCCATGGGTCCATCTGACTCCTGGCTGGCCGCTGCGCGCCCCTCCATCCGATCCTCCATCCCGGCCCCTCTCTCCTCTGCCGCGGCTGTTTCCCACTTCCTGTTTTCTTCCCGGCCCTGGCGCCACCGAGGGCTGCCTGGAGTGGGGGAGGTGGTGGGGCCCCCCAGGAGGCCGGCGTGTTCTTCCTCTACCACTGCCCCTCCCTTCCGACCCCCATAGTCCTTTCGAAAAAAGTTTGGGCAGTTAAGGTGAATTTGAGGGGTACCCGAGAATTCTGCCCCCCCCCCCCCCCCCGCAGGTTTCCACAGTCTGTCTGGGAGATTCCCTACCCCACCTATGTGGGATCCAGGTGTGTCTTCTGGGACCCCGCCATCCCAGCCCTTCCCGTCTGCTGCCTCTTCTCCACCCTGTCTGCCAACGTCCTCAGCTCTTCTCTCAGTGTCCGCTGCTCTGTCTCTGCCTCACTGTCCCCCCCCCACCCCCCACCGCCCCTGTGCTCCAGAGGTTCTGCATCCCCAGGCTTTCTTGGTGTAGGCCGGGTGGTTCCCTGTTTTAAGCACGTGGACTCATACACAACACACACTCACACATGCTCCCCTTGCCCGTGCCTGGCTCCTGGCTCCAGAGCCTGGGGAACAGAGCCCCATTGAGACACCCTGACGTCACCCCCCATCTTCCTTCTCCCCCCAAAGCTGGGAACAGGCCCTCATGTATGCCGTGTCCGATGAGGAAAGCTGGCTTTGGGGTTGGCCTGGGAATGGGGAGGGTCGCTGCCATGAGTGGGAGCCAGAGTTCTGGCCCAGGAGCGAGGTTGTTCAGGGAGGGGGCTTAACTAAGGGGGCCTGGGTCAGCCCCCGGAATGCAGCTTGAGGCCTTTCCAGAGCCCCCCACCTCCCTTCTGAGTTCCCTTTGTGTTGCATGTAGTCTCTCTCACTCCTTCTCTTCTGCAAAGTTTATTTTTAGCCTCCTGCTCCCCCGCTCCCAGGACTGTCGCTGCACACACGTTGCCTGGTTACCGGGACAAGGAGGCTGGGGCGGGTGGGCTGGGAAGGGTGGCTTTAATTTTGGGGGGAGGGTGGAAATCAGTACACCCTCCCAACCCTAGACTGATGTCTCAGGGGCTTCGGCCCCCACCCCGAGTCCAAGAGCCAAATTGGGGCTTGTTGGGGGTGGGGGCGGGGGTGTAAAGCTTGGTGCCATGAAGGGAGACAGGAGTTTTTTGGAGAAGGTTGGTGGATGCATGAAGCGGGCGGTCTCTTGGGTTCCCAAGAGCCTCTGGGCCCTGAACAAGACCGTCAGACCTGGGTTCTCTAGCAGGGTGAGGATCAAGGGGTGAACACCTGGATTCTCAAGAGAGGGATGGGGCTGTGGATGCTGGGGTCTGTGGAAGGTGCTGTCAGGGCCTGTCACTTGTGAATGGAGCAGGAACTGCCGGTACAGGACCCTGAGTCTGTGACACCCTGAGGTCATATGGTCATATCCCTGGAGCCCTGAGGGACTGACTGGAGGCTGAGATTTCTGAATGGGGCAGGGACCAGGTGGGGAATGCTGGCCATCCCAGTCTGCCCAAGGCCAGGGGTCAGGGATTAGAGTCAACTCTGATTTAGAGGGAGTGGTCCCTTTGGCACCAGGAGCTGCTGATCCCTGGCGTCCCCATGGGGAAGGCTCCCCTGTTGGATTCCAGACTTGGGTGGGGACTTTCAGGGAGGTTCCATGTTGCCTCAGGTTGGGTTGGTACCTGCTTCAGCTGGGGTTTGAGCCAGGACCATGGGAAGAAGGCTGACCCTTGCAGCCTGACTGGGACTTGGGACCCGCCCATCCTTAGCTGTCCACCTTGGCCTTCTCCCTCTAGTGGCACCAGGGCTCCTGTCCTGCCTCCCCCCCCTTCTTCTCTTCCTCCCTTTTCCCTCCTCCCACCCCTCCATTACCGGCTGCCTAGTGCTGAATTATTGATGGCCCCTGATTACCCGGGGGTTTGGGAAATGACAACAACCGCAGCCCCCCCCAACTCCCCCCCCATCAGGCTGCCCACCCCCTCTAGGGACCAACCAGCCCACCACCAACCTCTACCCAAGGTTAATGCTGGGGGCGGGTAGGTAGGTGGGCAGGGAAGACGCTGAAGATGAGAAGGCAGAAGGGGGAACGGGTTGCAGCGAGCGATGCCTGTTCAGTGTTGAGGCCCTCCAGCCAGGTTGGGTCCATGTGCCCGGGTCTGGGTAGGGCAGTGCAGCACTGAGGGTCCTGGGCTTGATGGGGGGGCGCTCTCTCAGACAGTCTGGGTTTCACTCTCCAGGGAAGACAGAAGCCTCTGTGTGTGCAAGCGCTGACCTCATCGTCAACCAGCCACCCCACCCCTCCTGGTCCTTTTAAGAAAAAAAAAAAAAAGCCTTCTCTTGGGGGCCTAGGGTGGGAGTAAGGGCTCCGGTAGATCTTGGGAGGGAAACAGTGTATGTTCCTAGGAGGGGAACAGAGGAGGTGGTGGGGGCAGGGGGTGTGGTAATGACTGACCCTGAATGGGAGTGAGGGTGGGCTGGGGGTGGCTAGCCCCAACCCGTCTGGCCACGTGTGCCCCTTCCTGCTCCTCCCCCACTGGCAGCCCTGCCCGCCGGCCTGGCTTGGTGCCTGGCCCCCTGGCACTGGCCCCGGGACCCGCCGCCGACGGTTTCCTGTTTCTCCCGGTGTCGCTGGAGCAGGCTCCAGCTTCCCCTCCCCCCAGCTCCTGTCTAGCCCCCCTCACACACACAGACACACACTGTCTCCCTCTAACCAGGTCTTGGCTTGGCAGAGGGGAGACGGGTTTCCCCATGGTAAGGGCGGGGCTAGGAGGTGGACCCTGGGATGGGCCCCAGGGCCCCGGACTTGGCGCCCTGACCCAGGGCCGCTCCCCTGCCTCCCGTCCCCAGGCTTTGCCTTCCCGGATTGGGCCTACAAGCCAGAGTCATCCCCCGGCTCCAGGCAGATCCAGCTGTGGCACTTTATCTTGGAGCTGCTGCGGAAGGAGGAGTACCAGGGTGTCATCGCCTGGCAGGGGGACTACGGAGAGTTTGTCATCAAGGACCCCGATGAGGTGGCTCGGCTCTGGGGGGTCCGCAAGTGCAAGCCCCAGATGAACTATGACAAGCTGAGCCGGGCTCTGCGGTGAGGAGGGCAGAGGCCCCAGGGCAGACGTGGACAGCTCCCCCACACACACCGGTTGGGAGCCCCCTGGCCCGTGGGAATAGGCATTGGGTTTGACTTCTGGCTGTGCCACATGGTAACTGTGTGACCTCGGACCAAGTCCTAACCCCTCTGAGCCCACGTGTCACACCGAGGCGAGAATGTGGTCATGGATGGAGCCTGTAGTCTGACCCCAGAACTAAGGGGAGAACTGGTCCCCCACTCTCTGGACCTTGATTCCTCTCGTGTGGCCCATGTTCTTCAGTCACCCTTAGCGAGCAGCACTAATACGGGTCAAGGTTTGGGTTCTAGATTCAGGTCCCCTGTGACTGACCCTCTGATGAACGGTGTTTTTGTACCCCCAGCTATTACTACAACAAACGCATTCTGCACAAGACCAAGGGGAAACGGTTCACCTACAAGTTCAACTTCAACAAACTGGTGCTGGTTAATTATCCTTTCATCGACGTGGGCTTGGCTGGTGAGTACCAGGGCTTGTGGATACAGCCTCAGAGGGAGAGCAGGGTCTTCCTGAAAGTCCAGGTGAAGCAGAGCAGGGAGGGGCCTTGACATCATGTCTTCCCTCTCCTGTCAGGGGGTGCGGTGCCCCAGAGCGCCCCGCCAGTGCCGACAGGCGGCAGCCACTTCCGCTTTCCTCCCTCGACGCCCTCCGAGGTGCTGTCTCCCACCGAGGACCCCCGCTCACCGCCGGCCTGCTCTTCATCATCGTCATCCCTCTTCTCAGCTGTGGTGGCCCGTCGCCTGGGCCGGGGCTCGGTCAGTGACTGTAGCGATGGCACGTCAGAGCTCGAAGAGCCCCTGGGAGAGGACCCCCGGGCCCGACCGCCCGGCCCCCCGGAGCTGGGTGCCTTCCGTGGGCCCCCGCTGGCCCGCCTGCCCCACGACCCTGGTGTCTTCCGTGTCTACCCCCGGCCCCGGGGTGGCCCTGAGCCCCTCAGTCCTTTCCCCGTGTCGCCTCTAGCTGGGCCTGGCTCTCTGCTGCCCCCACAGCTCTCCCCGGCTCTGCCTATGACCCCGACCCACCTGGCCTACACCCCGTCCCCCACGCTGAGCCCTATGTACCCCGGAGGTGGCGGGGGCCCCAGCGGCTCAGGGGGAGGCTCCCACTTCTCCTTCAGCCCCGAGGACATGAAACGGTACCTGCAGGCCCACACCCAAAGCGTCTACAACTACCACCTCAGCCCCCGCGCCTTCCTGCACTACCCTGGGCTGGTGGTGCCACAGCCCCAGCGCCCCGACAAGTGCCCGCTGCCGCCCATGGCCCCTGAGACCCCACCGGTCCCCTCCTCGGCCTCGTCCTCCTCTTCCTCCTCTCCATTCAAGTTTAAGCTCCAGCCGCCCCCCCTGGGACGCCGGCAGCGGGCTGCTGGGGAGAAGGCCCCAACGGGAGCTGACAAGGGCGGCGGCCTGGCCCTCAGCGGCGGTGCAGGCGGGCTGGCCGAGGGGGCTGGGGCTCTGGCCCCGCCACCGCCGCCGCCGCCGCAGATCAAGGTGGAACCAATCTCCGAAGGCGAGTCGGAGGAGGTGGAGGTGACTGACATCAGCGACGAGGATGAAGAAGACGGGGAGGTGTTCAAGACACCTCGTGTGCCACCTGCACCCCCAAAGCCTGATCCGGGCGAGGCGCCCGGGGTCGCCCAGTGCATGCCTCTCAAGCTGCGCTTTAAACGCCGCTGGAGTGAAGACTGTCGCCTCGAAGGGGGTGGGGGCCCTGCTGGGGGCCTTGAGGATGAGGGTGAGGACAAGAAGGTGCGTGGGGAGGGGCCTGGGGAGGCTGGGGGCCCCCTCACCCCAAGGCGGGTGAGCTCTGACCTCCAGCACGCTACAGCCCAGCTCTCTCTGGAGCATCGAGATTCCTGAGGGCTGTGGGCAGGGGACCCCCGTTCCCTCCACCCCCCATGCCTCTTTTGCTGCCTTAACCCCCCATTTCCCGGAGGTGAGGGCAGCTTTTTAGTCTTGCTCCGCCGCCGCCTCTTTCCCCTCCCCCATGTTTTGTATAAAACTTTTAATTTCTTTTTTTTTTTTTAAATGGTGAGGGTGGGTGGGTGCCCAGGGTGGGGGGCCGTCCCCTGTCCCTGTGGGTTTCTAAGCTCCGGGCAAAGTGGTGGGGGTGGGAGGGAGGGGGGAGTTAAGGGGGCCACCTCCATTCTGGGGAATTTATATTTGAACTGAGGCTCCGGCCTCAAAGCCCAGGAACTTTTTTTATTACAATCGTTTAGGAAGTAAAGCCTTGTCTCCCTCCCTGTCCTTTGCCTCCTGTACCTCTCCTTATCCATCCCCGGCGTCCTCAGCCCCAGTCCTGCCTTCCCCGCCCCTCCAGGGGCCGTGAGTGCCTGGGTTTCTCATAGCCCCACAGGGCTGCAGCAGAGGAGGGAGGGACATTTTATGATGAACCAAAAATTCCGTGTTGGGGGGGTGGGGGCAGAGGAGGGTGAGGGGTGCCGCCCATAGGCCACAAATCTCTACAAGTGCCTGCTACCCCTCTCCTGGTCCCCACCCCAGTGCCAGTCCAACCCCTTCACCCCCCAGCTGCTCCTAGGACTTGCCCCATAGGCAGGCGGGTGGGGAAGGGGGTGCCCTGAAACCAAACTGGAAGCCCCCTCTGCCTCCCAGCTGGGGCCCCTGGGGTGGGGGTCTGTGGTCAAGCCTTATTCTGTATTGGGGATGGAGGGTGGGTGGGGAGGGAAGTCGGGGGCTGCTGGAGAATGTATTCAAAACAATAAAAACTTTGGACCTTTGGATGCAGTGATCTGAGTGTTGCGTGCAGCCATTTCAGGGCCACATCCTTTGGTTCTTGGACCGGGGCCCTGAGTGGATCCATGGCCAGAGGGCCTAACCCCATCTGAGAGGGTCAAGTCCAGGCCTGGAAAATGAACTCTTGACCTTGGGGGGCACTAAACCTCTGGGCCTGGTGATGAAGGTCTCGGGCATTCTCTGGCCCTCTGACTGTCCCCCTCTTTGGTGGGGATCCACTCTTCTTGGGAGCACTTTTCGGCTCTTGAACACCAGGCTATGGCCCTTATTCTGCCTGAAATGCCTCTCTTCTCTGTGAATCCCTGTTCATTTCTCCAGGCTCTGGTGAAGTCCTGGCACTCCTGCACTACCTGTGGTGTTCTCTCACACGTCAGCTCTTAGAGGTGCTTGAGTTATCTGGGAGTCCTTTGGTGACAGGCCTGCAGTGTCTTGCAATGTAGATCTTTCAAGGCACTTTGGAGATCTTCCCATCAACCCATGGGAGCACTCCGCTTGTAAATTAAGAAGAGACTGGCTTAATTGCAGTTGCTGTTCACCTACTGTGTGCCAGGTACTTAGGAGCTAGAGTTCTTTATCTCCAACATTCAGCAAGGTGGGAGCAAGCGGCTCACTTTAATGACTTGCCCAAGGCCTTAAGCCCAACTGGGACTTTAATGAAGTCTGTCTCTGAAATACCTGTTCTTTCAACAACTCAATTCTCCTAAAGCCAGGATGGTTGGATCTAGACCAGGATCTCAAGTTTCTAAGATCTGACAGGAGAGGTCATAAAGCCAGAAGCCCAAGTTGGAGAGCTTGAATCAGAGATGAAAGAATCAGGAGGAGGTATCCAAGCTGGAGGTTCTTTTATTTTAGTTTTTTTTTTTTTTTTTTTCTGGAGGTTATTTTAGACAGCACAACCCATCCAGTGCAGGTGAGGTGCCTGAGGCCCAGAGAGGGAAAGTTTTCCAGAGGCCACACAGCTGCTAAGAGAATTGAGGGCTCCGGGCTTGCATGGCTTCACCATGAAACCCCACCCTGTGCAACTCTGGGGGAAGGAACTGGAAACTCCTACCCACTCTCATTTCAGCCTCATTTCAAGTCAGCCCCAAGTGGGTGGTCCCTGATGATGCCCGTTGGCAATGAAGAAAGGATCCAGGGCTGGGGTAGTGTGAGGCTCCTGTGGAGGCCTGCAGGCAACTGCTCCCTCTCCTGGGTGATGTAAGTCACTCCCTTGGGGTGGGGGCCACTGGGCTATTTCTGGAAGTACGGATGAGGCATGTCTCCTGGCAACATAGATGTAGCTAAGTTGGTGGTGGTGTGATGGAGAAAGGGGGATGTCATCACTGAGGTAGGAGGGAGGACCCTGACTAGTAGTCTCAGCACCTGATTCTAGTGCCTTCCAAGCACCTCTAAACTGGATCTAACATGCAGTCAAAGGCACTCAGCCTCAGAACCCCTCTCCAGGTCAGGCCACAGCCCAACCAGATTTCTTCCCCCAAATTCTGGCTGAGTGGGATGTCACAGGTGGCCTCTGGTCTTGAAAACTCCAGCAGCTCCTCTCATTTTAAAGTGGCCCATCTAAATCTATTCAGTTTCTGCAAGGTCATACCCCTGCTCCCTTCCACATCCTCCAGGATCTCTGATACCAAGTAAAAGCTCTTTATAGATCTCAAGACACTTCCATCAATTAATTCATATGATCAGAGACCCTCTCCTTACCTATAATCCCCAGCACTCCCTCAGTCCCCAGAAATTCCTTTCTTAGGCTTCTCAACCATCCCTCACTTCTTCAGGTCCCTCAGAAATACCCTCAGTCACCATCAGTTTCTCACAGTCTCCCACAGACCTTTTAGAGACACCTCAAGTCCTTTCTGACTTCACTTCTCTCTAGGAAGATCATTTTACCTCTTCACTCCTCAGAGCACCTCTAGACACCCAGAGGCCCCTCGTAGCCACTTACAACCCGCTCTAGCACCCCTCAACAAATGCTCTCATCTTGTACAGACATTCGGATAAGATTCCTTCAGACTGATTCCCTCAGACTCCCACGGACCCCAATATCCTCTGGCGGTTGCCCAGGCGCGGTCCACTCCGCACGTCCCACGGGTTCTGGCCGTTAAGTAACCCCTGCTATTCCGCCCTGTACTCCTGCCCTTGTAAGCCTTCTTGGTCCAGGTTAGGATTCCCCAGGATTTGGGGCTTGAGTCAGATTTTCGCTTTTGGACTCCGAGCCGCCGTCAGAGGGCAGCAGGAATTGTTTGCCTGAGGAACTACTACAACTCCCAGAAGTACCCTCTCTAGACCGTGCGTGATGTAGCCGCATTCATTAAGAGAGCGGAAGTGTGACTGTGCTTTGCCTTCTGGTTAATGTAGTACGAAAGGCTTCAGAGCTACTATCCGTCCTGCCCCAGGAGTTTGTGTCCGCTGGGAATTGCACTCAGCTACAGCGTGGACGAGACTTTTTTCAAAGGGCAAGGCAATTAGAGTGATCACAGGATCTGATTAAAGTGAAGCCTAGAACTCCATTTCCCGTCATTCCACGAGGCAGGAGAAGAGGAGGGTGACTTCATTTCAGTTACAAATACTTCCGGAACACACACATTCACATGAACTCTTATTTCCCAGCACACACTGACATGAGCTGTGCACACACACACACTCTCAAAACGAACTCCCTTTCTCAGCGCGCTTTGGACTACCGTCCTTCCGGGTATTAATGAATAAGTGGGGGCAACATAATGCGAGCACAAACCGCGAGGCTACTCCTAGCAGTTGGCTTCCTTCTTTTGGGCCTTCCAGGATCCTGTAATTTAGGAAGGCTGAGGATTCAAAAAGCTTAATGGGATGTTCAAGATAAATTGTGTTTCCATTTCTTTCCACCTTCAGTTCAGCCTCCTGGTGCAACCTACATTGTTAGGAAAAGCTAGACAACATCCGAAGACTGTATTGTGAAAATCCACCGGAAACTTTCTTTCCTAAATCGTTGGCGGGGAGGGTTTTCCTTCCGGATTTGTGGAAATTTGGGAGTGTTTGCACTCCATTTTCCAGTAGTCCCTGATCCACTTCGGCTCTTTCTTGGGACCTGGCGTCAGGAGAGGAGGCGTTGAAACTTTCTGCAGTCTCTCCTAGGCGACTGTCTTTCCCCTTTAGCTCACGCTCTTTCCGGCAAGCCTCAGCTGTCTTCTCACAAAGGGTCGGGATCCGGTCTGGAGTATTCCCCAGCATGCTTCAGGGATTATGGTAGACCCCGCCCCCTCAGTCAATGGTAAGGCCGCCTTGAACTCCATTTCCCAGAAGACACAAGGCTCGCTGTAGCAACTACTCTGAAGCCTCGGTGTTGACTACATTTCCCAGCAGGGATTGCGGCCCAGCGAACGAGGGTGGAGGAATGCTCTGCCTTTCCATTTCCTAGCCTATCTCCGGAACTGCAATATCCACTTGGGGTTTAGGAATCACATGGGACTCCATTTCCCGGCGTGCTTTGGAAGTAGCTTTATACCTGCAATGCGGTGAGGGCGTGGCGACGACTACATTTCCCGGCTTGCATCACAGCCCGATAGCGGCGGGTCCACCTGCTCCGACTCAATTTCCCAGGGTGCACTTGGCTCCAGTCGGCATACAACCAATAAACTAAGTGAACGCTTGGACTCCGTTTCCCGGAGTGCATCGGGCCTATACAGCTCCCTGATGGAGTTGCCTGAGACTACATTTCTGAGGCACACCTAGAGGCACGCGGTTGCCGCAATGGAGTGAGTGTGCGACTCTGACTCTACTTTAGAAAGTGCTTCAGAGTCCGCTGTGGGCACAGTTGTCCAACTTATTGCCCGGGATTCTGTTTCCCGAGGTGCAGCGCGACTCATCATCCCCGCATCCCTCTCTGAGGTCTGTGGACTCCATTTCCCGGCGTGCCACGCGGCTCTCTGTGAGGGCCTAGAGCGGCGACGGCGTCGCGTAGGGCCGGCGGACTGCATCTCCCAGCGTGCCCCGCGGCGGGCGCTGGGCCGGAGCCGGAGCCCGAGCGGCGCGGCCTGGAAGAGGCCGGAGCCCGGGGGAGGCGGCGGCGGCGGCAGCGGCGGGGGCAGCCCGGGCAGCCCGAGCCCCGCGGCCTGGGCCTGCGCTCGGCGCCATGAGCGGTGGCGCGCCTTCGGGGGGCGGCCCTGGGGGCTCGGGCCGGGCGCGGACCAGCTCGTTCGCGGAGCCAGGCGGCGGAGGCGGCGGCGGCGGCGGCGGCCCGGGGGGTTCGGCCTCTGGCCCAGGCGGCAGCGGCGGCGGGAAGACGTCAGTCGGAGCCATGGGCGGGGGCGTGGGGGCCTCGGGCTCCGGGGGTGGCCCCAGCGGCAGCGGCGGAGGAGGCAGCGGCGGCCCCGGCGCGGGCACCAGCTTCCCGCCGCCCGGAGTGAAGCTGGGCCGTGAGTACTAGCGGCGCCCGTGGCGGGTGGAGATCGGATCCCTGAAGCCATTCAGACGTCGATCAGGTTCTTCTTTATGCTCAGGGAGGAGCTCGAGGTCACTGTGCCTTCCCAAACTGGGATCTGAGATCTACCCCCTCCCGGAGAGAGGGATTTGGGGGCGGGGGGTACCATCACTTGGAGTTTGAATTAGAATTAGTAATCCTCCAAAAGACAGGGTCACAGGTTTCTGTTCTTCCAGTCCCGAAGTCTTGGGTCCGTGAGCCTTGAAAACAGGCATCTGATGTTGCCATCCATTCGAGAACGGATCAGGGGTCATTGTCGCTGGCAAATGGGGCTCAAGGGTTATTGTTTCTCAAGAGAACAGGAATAAGATCACCACCACCCAGAGAAGGGATCTGAATTTGCTCCCTTTTAGAGCATGGGGATTTGGAGTGAGTATCACTTAGAAGCAGGGATTTGGGTTTGCTGTGGCCCCAAAGAACAGGGCCAGGGCTTTCCAAATTTTATACCCAGTCATCTTCCCTTTTAAAACACTATCTGTCCATAATATGTAGAATTGTATCTCCAATGGTGGAAATTAATGATTGCTGCTT